AACATTGGCCCCATCCCCAGTGTGTCCTCCAAAGCTGAGCCCTGAGCTTTCCTGCCACCCCCTTGCAGGATCCCCTGCACAGCCCTTGTCCAAGGGGAGATGAGGCTTAGCAGTCAGGGGGAGATACCCCTGCTCCCTGAGTCCCTACCCATTAATTTAGTTGGAATGCAGGGGCCCAAAGTGTCAAAGGTGTTAACATGACCCTGAAACTGTTCAACATCAACTGTGTTCAACAAGGTCCAGGGTTGGGTACACAGCAGCTCAGCCTGCTCAGTGCCAGGGCAAACACCCCACTACAAATCTTTTTAACCTACCAATGAGACAGAAAAGAAGGAAAAGCAGCTAATGCATTAGAAATCTCGATACAAAGTGAGGCTTTTATTTCAACAACAGCCTTTGTTCCTTTAGCTGGAGCAAGTTTTTAGAAGGAAAAGCCTCTGGTCTGACAGTCTCTTAGATGCTAACTGTCCTTGTAGGGAAAGGAGAAAATGGACTCTTGTTAAAGGCAGATCCCACTGCCTAAGAAGAGACACACAAGGCGAGGGAAACAAACAGCAAAGCAGGAAAATGTAGCTTCCGTCTCGGGCGCCGACTCACGCTTGGAACCTCATGGCAGGAGAAACACAGGCCCAGCACAGGGTGTCATCAGCCACTCTGAGACTTAGCAACTGCGTACCAGCATCGGGCTGCCTTGCTTTTAGCTGTCTCTGGTCACGGCTCACAGTGTTCTTACAAAGCATGGAGTCTTGGGCAGCTAAGCCTGATGGTCATTAAACAGAAGGCAAGAAGAGAGTACTAGGAAAGAAAGGTGGGTAAGGAAACAGACAGAATGGGGTGGGGTCGACAAAGTCTCCAGCTGTGTCTACACTTAGAAGGCTACAGTGGCATAGCTACAGCTGCGCATGCTGTTGTGCTTCGGTGTAGACACTCGCTTTAGTGACAGGAGGAGCTCTCCAGTCAGCACAAGTAATCCACCTCCCAAAGGCGGTAGCTACATCAATGGAAAAATCCGTCCATCCCCCAAACTGCGCCTGTGCCGGGGCTAGGGTGGCAGAGCTACAGCTCTTGGAGTGGGGTTTTTAGATCCTGGAGAGAGACAGCTATGCTGATGTGAGCTTTTGGTGCAGGCCAGACCAGGTGGTGTCTGGGACTTAGCCAGAGGCGGTGGCCCTGGGTCCCTCTCTCTGGCTTGTCTGGTCAGGACAGGATGGTGAAGGCCCAGGGTCCCAGGTGAGGGTGGCACTTGTTCCTTCCCTTTCCCCAGCCAGCATTTTGGATCCATCCATGTCCATTTTCCCCCTAGTCTCTTTCTGAGGCCCCCCAAAGGCGAGTGACAGGCCAAATAGCCCAGCCCCTCATTAATTTGTTTACCAATGGGCCTAATTTCTGACACACCAATTTTGGATCGTGGATTTTCGGTCCCACACGTCTCGTTTACACAGTGTGACCTGAACACAGTCCCTGAGTTACACCACAAGGCCTTTTTATTTGGCTGCTTCACTCTATCTCCTCCTTGCACCTTTTCCCAGCAACGTTCATTGGGCTCCGATAGTGCGACGTGCTAGGTACTTATATGCATGTTTTACAGTTGCACTTACAATTAGGGTAAATTTGCACCCATCAAACAGGGGCCCGGTCCTAGGTGCCAGGGTAATACTGACAGTGCATCACACGACCAGCCCATCACGGGGCATCCTGGATGTGCAGCCGGTGGTGTCGGATGCGGGAGGAGCTGTCGCTGAAGCCCTTCCCGCAGTCAGGGCAGGTGTAGGGGCGCTCACCCGTGTGGGACCGCTGGTGGGTGGCCAGGTCTGTGCCCTGGCTGAAACTTTTCCCGCAGTCCCAGCAGGCGTAGGGCCGCTCCCCAGTGTGGACGCGCCGGTGCCGAACCAGCTGGGAGCTGACGCTGAAACCCTTGCTGCAGTCAGGGCAGGTGTAGGGCTTCTCGCCAGTGTGGGTGCGCTGGTGTTTGATGAGGTAGGAGCCATCGCTGAAGCAGCGCCCACAATCCTGGCAGGCGTAGGGGCGCTCCCCAGTATGTGTGCGCCGGTGCTGCCGCAGGTGTGAGCTGCGGCCAAAGATCTTCCCACAGTCGGTGCAGGCATAGGGGCGCTCGTCCGTGTGCACCCGCTGGTGCTGCACCAGGTCCGAGCTCTGGCTGAATGTCCGCCAGCAGTCCAGGCAGGCGAAGGGGCGCTCACCCGGCAAGCCAACCCCATGGCAGGGCCCCTCCTGTGTGTGGCAGCGCTGGTGCCGTGTCAAGTGGGAGCTGCGGCTGAAGCTGCACTGGCAGTCGGGGCACTGGTAGGGCCGCTCACCTGTGTGAGTGCGCTGGTGCCGAAGCAGGGCAGAGCTGACAGCAAAGCTCTTCCCGCAGGTGGCGCAGGCATAGGGACGCTCCCCCGTGTGCACCCGTTGGTGCTGCGCCAGATACGAGCTCCGGCTGAACTGCTTCCCACATTCAGTGCAGGTGCTCTGGTTCTTGCCTACGGGCAGCGTCCTACCACCCATGCTGTGCTTGAGAGCTCCTACATGGTGTGCGGATTCACCTCGTCTCTCCTCCAGCTGGTTTCCCTGCTGACTCTCATGGGCTTCTCCCTGCCCAGGATTCTGGGAAATGTTCCTTTCAGCATCTCCCGACAGCACCCCCTGCGGTTCCACTTGCTCAGGACCTCCCTGCTGAGGGTTCTCCTCCTTGGTCTCACTCACCGTCCTATCACCTGCTGGGCCAGAGAGAGAATCCAGACAGGAGTCAGGCCCTGTGCCAGGGAGGAGGGAACCTCAGATGGGGAATGGGAAAGGGCTGAACAAAACCAAATAACTAGGGGGAGACCAAACCATCAGGAGCTGAATCCCGCAATCCCCTCCCCAGAGCAGAGACAGGAGGGGACCAATTCTTCCTCCACATTCCACCCAAGCAATCAGAGGAAGGAGGCTGGTGGGAAACGAGCTACTGCCAAGCATCAGGGTGGGTGGGAAGCTGTGAGTGACATCTGCCATGAGGATATGGCACCTGGTGGGAACCCCAGATGTTTTCCTTCACTTGCTGACAGTTTCTGAACCAGCTTAGCCAATTCCTCACCTGTGTGGGTGCTCCTTGGGATCTCCTGTTCCTCAGAGCCCTGGAGACTGGGGACCCTCCCCTCCATCCATCAGTGAGATCACTTTGCATTGGGGAACCAGAAATCCTGCTCCGGGGAAGAAAACAATTGAGACCATAATTGATTACATATTTCTCTAATAATTATTAGACAAAATAAACGCCTGAATTTAAATCCAGCCCCTTTCTGTGCTGGCGGCAGGTGTCACCCTAGCAGAGATAGTAAAGACCAGATAGTTCCTTCACCCCACCCCTCTAAGTGCAGGGAACAGAAGACACAGTGTTACAGAAAACTGGACCCCGAAGGCAGTTGCTACTGGGAGATATTGAGGCAGGAGCTCGATGTTCAGAAAGGGAGGGAAATAACTATGTTTCTGTCATCTAATGATTATTCACCCCTATAGCAGCTTGAGCCAAAGATCTGAAAGCACTTTCAAAACATCCTTGGAGGTGTGACGTGATATAAACACGGTAGATCAGGGGCTGCTGTTCACGCTGTCTGACAACACCAGAGCAAGGGGATGGTAAATGCAACGGAAAGGTGGTAAATTCAGAACGAATCAAAGGAAACCCAGTCTCCACACAGGGCAGGTTTAGCTTGGGGGTGTTGCTGGGTGTGTCTACACTGAATAAAATCCCTGTGGCTGGCCCATGTCAGCTGACTGGGGCTCACGCAGCTCAGGCTGCAGGGCTGTACTATTGTGCAGTGTATATGTTCAGGTTGGGGCTGGAGCCTGGGCTGTAAGACCCTGTGAGGTGGGAGGGTCCCAAAGCCTGGGGCTCCAGCCTGAGCATTAATGTCTACACTGCATTTTGAGAGACCCACAGCCCATGAGTCCAAACCAGCTGAGCCGGGCCAGCCGCGGGTGTTTTACCACAGTGTGGACATAGTCACTGAGGCTGGGATTCCAAAGCGCAGGCTCCTGAGAGGAGCTCCAAGCTGCTGAGCTGCAGGAGGCAGGCACAGGGATAGGGTCAGCACATGCATGTGCCCACTCCCACTGGGGGGGGAAGTGCTGGACCATTGACAGCCATGCCCAGCGGGTGTGGAAGGCTAGCATGCCCAGTGGGGAGTGATTTACACCCACTCACTCTGAGGACAAATGAGTGCCCAAGGGAACAGGGAACGGGGACAAAGAAGGATGAAGGAGAATAAACAGGAGGAAGGACAAGGGTAGATTTGGGGGAGTTTATCCTCACAATTCAGAATCATCCATCCCTATGCCTCACTGTTCTAGCTCTCATTCTCCTGCCCCTTCAAACCCACACCCCTGCCCTGGGGTTTGTCCCCAGCCCTCAGGCACCTTGTCCTTGGGGCAAAGGCACTGCCTTTTATTTGCCTATTTATCTCGCCATCAGCAGCAATATCACAAAATAATGAGGATCTTCCTTTTGCAGAGGGCAGAAGTGACCCCCGACCCGGAAGTAAAGTGACGTCCCCCAGGCTGCACAACCAGTTAGTGTCAAAACCGGAGATAGAAGCTGGGTGAGAGTCTCTGGCCTGTGTTAGACAAGAGCTCAGAGCAGATGATCTAATGGCCCCATCTGCCTTTAAACTCTATGACACACAGGAGTCCTGACTCCCAACCCCTCTGCTCTGACCTCTAGACCTCATTCTTCCCCCAGAAACAGAATCATACTCCCCCATCAGATAGGGTGACCAGATGTCCCGATTTGGCAGATGTGATTGCAGAGCCATTGGCCATTATCTTTGAAAACTCATGGCAATCGGGGGAGGTCCTGGATGACTGGAAAAAGGCTAATGTAGTGCCCATCTTTAAAAAAGGGAAGAAGGAGAATCCGGGGAACTACAGGCCAGTCAGCCTCACCTCAGTCCCTGGAAAAATCATGGAGCAGGTCCTCAAGGAATCAATTATGAAACATTTAGCGGAGAGGAAAGTGATCAGGAACAGTCAGCATGGATTCACGAAGGGCAAGTCATGCCTGACTAACGTAATTGCCTTCTATGAGGAGATAACTGACTCTGTGGATGAGGAGAAAGCAGTGGATGTGTTATTCCTTGGCTTTAGCAAAGCTTTTGATACCGTCTCCCACAGTACTCTTGCCACCAAGTTAAAGAAGTATGGGATAGATGAATGGACTATAAGATGGATAGAAAGCTGCCTAGATCGTCGGGCTCAACGGGTAGTGATCAACGGCTCCATGTCTAGCTGGCAGCCGGTTTCAAGTGGAGTGCCCCAGGGGTCGGTCCTGGGGCCGGTTTTGTTCAATATCTTCATTAATGATCTGGAGGATGGTGTGGACTGCACTCTCAACAAGTTTGCAGATGACACTAAACTAGGAGGAGTGGTAGATACGCTGGAGGGTAGGGATAGGATACAGAGGGACCTAGACAAATTAGAGGATTGGGCCAAAAGAAACCTGAGGTTCAACAAGGACAAGTGCGGAGTCCTGCACTTAGGACAGAAGAATCCCATGCACTGTTACAGACTAGGGACCGAATGGCTAGGAAGCAGTTCTACAGAAAACGACCTAGGGGTTACAGTGGATGAGAAGCTAGATATGAGTCAACAGTGTGCCCTTGTTGCCAAGAAGGCTAACGGCATTTTGGGCTGTATAAGTAGGGGCATTGCCAGCAGATCGAGGGACGTGATCATTCCCCTG